CGGACACGTGTCTTTTATACGGAGTAAACCCAAATAAATCGTATAAACAAACAAGAGACACTTTGTCGAACGGATTAGGGACAGCTTTTTATTACAACAATGGATATATATCCGTTCCGGGTAAAAACTACGACGCGCACGACTTACACGTGACCAACGGTAAATACGTGGGATCTACTTACATGGGATTTGGATGGGCTAAACCGTCTAAAGGCTCCGGTCACGCGAGTACCTACGCGGTCACCTGGATTTCACAGTCGGACGCGGTTACTTTGGCCTGGTGGGATTTCGTTCCTAAAAAGTCTCGGTTGACGGACGTGGGAATCACCAAGGTAAACGAACCAATTCGAGCTTACGTCTACGCATTACTCGGGGCACAGGCGCAGACCAAGACCAGCGTTTTGGCCACTGGTACCGGATTAGATGCGCAAAGGCAATTTATTACGATCGTGGAATCTTTAATTAATTCGGACCCCGATCTGGAACAGTCGATTGACCAATTTCAAGATTCGCCACAATACGCGAAAACGCCTTTAAACTTTGTAGTTGCCCCGGGTTTGTACCTGGTGCCCTCTGACATGGACTTACGCATCGGTACGTTTGAGGGATATAACAATAATTTACAAGTCGCGACTGAGGATATGAAGACTGGATACGTACCAAGTTTGAATAGCGGAGCGACCGGAGCAACGAGCGGAGCGAGTTTAAAAGGTGATTTTAATGAAGAGGAATTACCGAGGCAGCCAATTGTAAAGCCAGTTTTAAGCAAACCGCTCGACATACACAACGAAGAAAAACTGTCCTTAACCGTCGGAGCCGTTGCCGTGGGTGTCATCAGTTTTACGTTATATAAAATTTTAACATAAACGGTTTGATTTAAGGCATAAAAAAAATTAAACGCTTGTTCTCCACGTGGAAAACAAGCGTTTAATTTTTTTTCCTTTTTAGAATCCGTTTACCCTTTTTGCACGTACGTCAAAATCAAAACACCCAAGCCTACGAACAAAGTCCACACGTGCTCTGCCACCCATCCGACAGCTTTACTCGCCACGTTAAAACCCAACTCAAAATGCTACCGATGACCCCGGGCAAAGCACCTAAAGCTTTCAACCCGAGTTTCTTCAACACATTTGCCAGGTTCCACAGTTGACGTTTGATCCAATCGGTAATTCCAGGTTTGGAAGGAGGTTTAGGCGTTGGTGTTACACTAGGAGTTCCAACAGCTCTGACGCTAGCTACGATGCTACTAACGATGGTACTTACCGCTAAACTAAAAGCT